GGGTGTGCTCAGGTACAGGCTGGAATACACCAAAAGAACAAAGTGGCCAAGAAGCTGCACGACAATGTCCTGCAACTTCTTGAAGGACCTGTTGAACGATGTGCATACAACCATTCTCGGCATTCGCAACGGCACCGGCACAACCCCATGCTCCCGAACACAGTACAGTCTTGTGCCATTGTATCTGTCAACTTTACCAGATTGTTCGTGCAGCTGCATTGGTGCAAAGCATGCGCCCACCCGAAAACACAAATATTGCCCGAGTCAAGAATAGTTATAAATCGTGTCTGTCAACTGTTTTCTACATTCTGCATGCACATGTACCAATGATTATGTGAACGTCAACCAGGCCAAGAAGCATTATCATCATCATCATCATGTCCAACTGCTTCCTCAAAGCCCCAGTGCGCATCTGCATTGGCTTCTGGTACAGCTGCTTTATCTTCGATACCACGCAAGACGGTATCACACGCCGCTGCTTGCGTCCAAAGTATCCATGGGTGAACCATGTGTATTGTCTATACGCCACATGTCTCCAAATCCTGCACAAAACAGTTGGAGAGATGTAGATACACATACCACGAGTGTCTTCATGATTGTGTAAAAGTAAATAGTTTCAGTGTAAATAGTTTCGGATTCGAGTTAATATTTCTATGGGCTACTATACTAAAGACACTTTGGCCTTTTTTCAAATTTACATCACTTTTACACACAGTTGAAACACTTACAGTGCTAGGAATAGTATGAATGAAAGACATCGTTGTACCAGTATAATTATATTGGCATGGGTGCAATAGAACTTCATGATTGTGTGATGGAAGTTGGTGAATTTGAATACTGTACACAAAATCATTGCACAACACTTCCCATCTACTTTGTACCGGTACATGAAACATGGAAAGAAAGGAAATAATGAAACCGATTCAGTGAATCCTCACCTGTTTGACCACGGTCCACACCTTGCCCGAAATTCTTCGAAGGAAAGGAATGCCACCTCGAGCACTGATTTTTGCAGGCAAACAACAGCAAACTCTGAGTGCTGCGTGACGCACTGCAGCCCTTCCTGCTCGCCGCGTTTACTGAAAGCTGCAGGAACCTCCCAGCAACAAGTCGACTCGACCTCGCTCCACATCATGCTGCATTGTCCGCAACGGCATCAAGCAGTGCTTCTCACGCGAGCACTTGCAACCAAAGCGTTCTCTTCACGTTCATCTGTTTTGTAGTCTCAGAAATATTACTTGTAGACAGTTTCGCAGACGCTGATGCGCGCTTCGGCTCGAACCTAAAAGGCCTCGGTGTTGTTGAATCCGAAGTGGCGTCCACCTCCACACCTCCCGTGGTCTCCTCTTCCTCCAACATGATGATCGAATGAATACTAGTACAAGGGTTATCGATTGAAGAAAAAAACAGTGAATACCTTTTTCAAAATTTCTGCAGGTCTACCATTTGAATAAAAAAATTTGGAGGTCACTGAGAACGTTTTACGTCACAGGGTGGGCGGGGGCCCCCTCGTGCCAAATATGGAAAATTGCAATTGGTAATTTAGGTATGTTATCCTTGTCGTAGAAGCTTCCGGTTTTCGCCATTCTACCACTTACGACATATTCTAATGGATTCCGCAATAAAAAATGGGGGTGATTTTGGACCGGAGTTCCCCTTTAAGTGACACATTTTGGTGCCTGGAGACCTGATAATGAATCGAGGTTAACGACTTTATCCACATACATAGCCTACAATTCCACTATCAGGCGGACTGGCACGCATGGAAGTTGATGGAACATAATGACATCTGTGTCACATGCGACGATCTCCACGCCAAGCTGTTGTAGATGAGACGGTTTCAAATAGGAACGGTTTGAGAGCAAATTGTGTACTCCCAAACCGATCATCAGCGTGGATTGTTCACTCGAAATTAGTTTGTGAAAGGAAGCTGGCATGTTGAAGTTTGCTTTGACGCCAGAGTCGATCGAACTGAGCAACTCCTTTGTGTTGGCCCGCTGCCTTTCAAATTTGGTGTCAGAGAGGTGGCTCCAAAACAGTTTCGGAGTGCACGTCAAGTTCACCCTGTGTTCTGAAATTTAGTAACTGCTATCGCTCCACGACGGCCAGTACAGAGAAACAATAAGCCTTGTGTGTGCTTCCATTAGTATTCATCGGCACATGATGCTTTATTGGCGAGAGGCGAGCCGCTGTTTACCTGCGACAAGAAGTTGATTTTTCGAAAGACGTTCAACTCAAGTCGCAGTGCGAAGCACACGTCAACAACTCGCCTGCTTGTTATGGTGGAGCCATGAACTTTTGGCTCGGAGTAAAACACATCATAGTCTCACTGTGACATATTATTTCTAATCCAAATACCAAGAGGGAAAGTGAATATTGAGCCCGTTCCAGTTTCAACCTACATTGTAATATCCTTTTTGAAATCGCCTCCTCTGCACCGTGCAGTCGTGCACTGTCTGTATTGCAGAGCCGAAGAACGATGTACATGTACATGTTGTGATGGCAAATACAATCATGTACAAAATGTACGAGTCCTGGTGGTGACAGTCAATTTTTTCTTCAGACTTTTCCCGTTTGTGTCTTTCCCTCAAACTTGTCAAGATATTACATACAAGTACAGATTGAGTATTTCGCTCCTGCTCTTGTAGCAGTTGAGCACTCTTGCGTGGGGAAGTGCCTTTGCTGTTTGCGTGATGCAGAGCTCACTGATTTGTCAGTTTGAGCACTCTGGCAAGGTACGTTCGGGCCTGATTGGAAATTTTTTATTTCCATTGCTATCAGGTTCGGCCTCATTTCCTCTGTGCTGCGCTGACGAGTCCACAAAGGACGAAACAGTTCTGTCCGCAGATTGAGCAAGTAATTATTATGTACATGCACATCTGAAACCGATAATTATGAATTATGCACATGCGAACCCTCAGCAAACAATTTCGGGCATTTTTTATACACACATTGTGTATTATATTGGCAGATCGGATTTATTGACAGATCGAATATAGTGACATTTGTTCTCTCCCGAAGGAGTTTCGTTTTACACAATCACTACTGTATGTAACGAGATAATTATACACTCAACAGTGCGGCAACAAGGCACGAAACTAACAACGACATAGGGACTGTCACCAGAAACGAAGACTATGTATCCCGAGTCCTAAGGCTCCTAACTAATTCCCTTGCTCTCAGCAATCCTGGGTACTTTTGTCTGATGTCGTTATCAGTACGTGCCGCAACCCTGCCAACCTAATAGTCGGAAGAGAGAACGGAAGAAATTTGTCGAGGTCGGCAAAGTAAGTCACTCTTGATTGTTGTCATTCGTACTTGGATTCTTCTTTCACTGTGTTGTGTCGTGCGAGTCATACTCATATCATGCAGCTTAAAGTTTTAGAGGCAATCTTCATTCACTTGTACAAGCCAGTGTTGTGTGTACAGAAGGCAAGTGTTATCACCCTCAAATTGTTTACGTAGTGTATGGTGCGAGTGTTGTTAGTATGATTGTCCCCCCCCCCCCTCCGTTCACACATCATTCCGTCTGTTCAGGTTCTTTCTTTGTTTTGCTGATGCTGATGATTCACATATGCATTGTTCTTACCTGTTGAGCTTGCCCACCACTGAATAGATGTAGTATTATCACCTTTTATGTTTCGCTCTTTTTTTACCTTCTTTCACTTTTATTAAGTCCATATAAGATAAGTTCAAGTTGTTCCCATTCCATTGTTACGTAGATTCACTGATGACTGTAACAAGCAAACAGTTCTGAACGAATCCTCGCTTTCCCTTCCTTGTGTGCCTAGCGATAATCGTACAACATTTTACACATACATGTACATGTCGACATACATGTATATAAAATGCTTACTGTGGAATTTAAAGAGTCGGCGTGGAGAAAGCAATTTTATTAGTGCAATTAGGAGTATAATAGATGCAGACATGGCCAGACAACAACGAGTTCATGGAATTTTTAAGGATTTTTATGTTATTCAAAATCGATTTTCGTGTTCCGCTCATCAGTGAATAGTATCGGAACTGAGGGTACTGTGTACAAAAATAGAACATTTTATAACAGCATAATTAAAAGTGTGAACAAAAAAGGAAGTGCTACAGCATTACATAATAGGTGTCAAACATAGTGCTAACATATAATATAACTTAGTGCAGGCACAAAGCATGAGGTGATACAGTGCAACATGACACAACATTTACATCTGATAACCAGCTACGAGAACAACTTTAGCGCGACTACATGCTTCTTTTGTTTACAAAGAACAGGATTATGCACACGAATACATAAAGCTTCCAGAACCTTCAACTGCTTAACATAACTTGCACGGCACAAAACAGAAAAGTGAGAATCATCGTACACACTAAGACAATCTGGACGTGATAACAAGTGACAAAATACAGCTGACTTTTTGCTCACGTCGCTCTCTTCCGTCTCATCCCGCTCCTTTCCTTCAACCTCCTCCGCCTTATCCTCGTCCTCCGTCTCATCTTCATCATCATCGTCCTCATCACCACCATCATCATCATCAGTCACTTGGAATTAGTTGTCTTTGTTAGGCCTTGACAGATTATGCTAGCATAATTTTTCGCATAATTCCTACCAAAATCGAATAATCGCATAATTCGAGGCAAATTGCATACGAATCGCATAAAATTGGAATTATCCGCCTGTTCGCATCAATTTCCACACAGTTGTACATGGTCTACAAGTACAAGTACAAGTAGATGCACCTGGAAGTCGTAGGTTTACGACTCCCTTGAAAACATGTCCAGTCCTCTACAATCAGTGACGGTCGTAGCTAGGTCGGACGGTGCGTTGACCCCGTTGAACTTTTGCTACTACAGTTCAACACCCTCTACAAAAACATTCTCCTGTTATTTTGCACAGAACCATCATATACATCAGCAGCATAATGCGGCATAATAATATTATGATAAATTTTAGCATAAGAATAGCATAATTCTGCAACTTTTCAGCAATGCGAAAAGCATAATTTCACGAAAATATTGGCATAATCTGTCAAGGCCTAGTCTTTGTAGCTATATTAAAACAGCTGTCTCCGACACGCTTGTTCACATTACAGCTAATTCCAGTAATTACAGAGACACGCTGGAATAGGCAGCCATTCACAAACAAACGATCACGAAATGACGATGTCACACATCTTTGGGAATGCACACGTCCAGGAATCATGACAATGGGCGCACAAAACTACACTGGCTGTTGTGATACTGGCATTCACCTGCTCATATTCCTCTCATTCGTTCTTCTTCATGACGCCGCTTCGAGTCTTTTCTTAGCCAGCACCTTGCCATGCTCCACCATGGCTTTGAACAATTCCTCTGCTGTCCATTCTTTTCTAGAATGTGATTCTTGTGAAGCAGGTTCTAGGTAACTTCCTAAATAATGGTATAGAGTTTCGCGATCAGGAATACTGGATTCTGGCAATCCCTTCAAGAAGACTTCATACTCCAGGACAGCCATGAAGTAATCCTCGGCATGAACAGTCCGTATGCTTCCCATTATGATGTGCTTGAGAACGGAATGTTTGATTGTGAGCTGTATGACGGCGTCTATCCATTGTCTGGTCCCCACCACAGGAACACGTTCATGATCACTGATCTCACCGACGAAATCCCAATGAACGAAGGGATTATACGTCCATACAGGAGTGATCGAAGCGATCATAAATTGCTCAAAACAGTGTCCACATGCCTTGGCCAGGGAGGTTAATACACTTTTGTCGTGCTTTGCGATGCTGTAAAAACATTTTGCAATATCAACAAGCCTTCTCGATCGGTACACATAGGGCAAGTATGATTCTAGCGTTGAGATATCGCTTTGCAAATGTTCGATCAAAGCTTCTTGGTTCTCTTCAATGGAGCCACACTTTTCTTGAAGCAAAGAAACCAAATCTTCTATTCTATATGCATCCGTGTTCATGCCTTCGTCTGAATCCGATGAATCTGGCCCAAACAACTTCCGCGAAACGTTTGGAAGAATTTCACACGCTTCATCTACAGATAAGAAGTCGACTTTGACCAGTTCACTCTGCAAACAAGAGAAGGTCCAGCTTGTGATCTGACCCGCAGTTGGAGGTGCCATCAACGCCAGACTCGATAATTGCCTTAGTAATTTGTGCTTATGCTCGAAAACCCTGCAATTAGGACTTCCAACCAGTACATGATTTACGAACACCCACGGGCTATGATGCAGGCTAGCCACACTGTCTGCTATGAAGAGAATTCGTGCAGCTCGAATATAGGACATTTCCAAGCAAGGACTGAGATGATACCGCTTCTGCATGGGATGGAAACACATACAGAATGACAAATACAGAAAATATGCATGTATTCATTTGTTTCTGGGAATTTAAAACAGGACAAATATGAAAAACAAAAGCTGTCACCACCAGGTCTTGAACCAGGGGCGTAAATGTACAGTCAGTTAAGCATGTACAGTCCGTATCTCCTATAAGGTTGGTGATGATCGTGAGGATGACGAGCGGAACGAGGAAGAGGATGATGAGATGGACGAGGAGGAGTCGGGTGGGAAGGAGCGAGATGAGGCGGATGAATGTGTTGATCGTAAGAAGTCAGCTGTGTGTCTACACTTGTTATCTCGTCGTGACTGTCTTAGCGTGTACTTCAAGTATGATGACTCTCATTTTTCTGTACTGTGTCGTGCGCGTTATGTCCAACAGTTGAAAGTCCTTGAGGCAGTTTGTATACGTATTCACAAGCCTGTTTTGTGAAGCAGAAGGAGCACGTTGTTGCACTGAAGTTGTATTCGTAGGTTGACACTTCGTTTAGCGCCTTCTCGCCTTTGGTTACGTAATCTTGTTACCTTTTTGCGTTTCCTCTAGTGGTTTTATTGCACTTGTATCTTGTTGTTATTTCTAACACCTTTCTATTTACTGTACTTAACTTCAGTTTCTTTGGTTGTATCCTTAGTTCCGTATTTTTCCCACTGATGATAGGAACAAGAAAATCGATTATGGGTTTTCAATAATATTTTTGTTATAAAATACACAGTAAATACATGTCTACCAACACCTTGAGCCTTTTTGCGGATGACTCCAATATTCTGTGCATTTCCCCACCAACTACCACAATTACGGCTCACTTGTCTCAGATTGAGACTGATCTAGCAGCGTGTATCTCATGGGCTGAACATTCTGGATCAAGGTTTAACGTAAGTAAGTGCGCCCATATTGTATTCCACTCAGGCAGGACCACGGCAGCAGAGCGAACTGTTCAGATGAATGAAGCTAGCCTATGTCGACCTGAGGCTCATCGCCATCTTGGAGTCATATTAACCCCCTCCCTAGATTTCCGTGAGCACATTCGTTCCATTATCTCTAAATTTCGTAGCAGAGTGTTCTTGCTTAGTCGTATGGCTCTTTTCTTTCCTCCATCGATCATTTCTATCTTGTATAAGTCATACGTTCGCCCTACCCTAGAGTACTCTATCCCCGTCTGGTTTTCCTCTCTGACGGTCCAAGACCAGGATAGTATGAGTAGGCTCCAAGCATCTGCAGCCAGAGGATATCTTGCCGCTAAATTAGGGAGGAAGCCAGATTGGATGACTCCAAAAGAAAATCTTAACCAGCGTGCAGGCTGGGAAGCTATAAAATGGCGATTACAGATCCTTTCATTATGCTATTTTCACCACATTGTCTACACCTTTCCTTCTGTTCTCTTTAATTTCAAATTTCGATTTTCATCTTCCTCCCGACACCCCAAGTCTCTTGTCCTTCCACCAACTGGCAATTACTTCGCTAAATCCTTCCTTTTCCTTATCGCTGTTGCTTGGAATAAACTTCCTGCTGATATACGTTCACTCGATAGTCCCACGCTATTTAATCGCCAGGTAAGGAAGCTGTATGAAGTTTACCGCCTCTCAGTTTCCGGCATACCTAGTTTCACGTGTTGAACAATATAGTCTAAATCCGCTACTGCAGTTATTTTGTTTTAGTGCCTTTCCAGTGTTCTATAAGCACTCCTGGTTCTCAATCTATTGTTCTTCCTCTCATTTGACTTAGAAAATCTCAGATTTTGAGTTTTTTGCGCTCCATACATACATGTAGTTTTATTTTCATTAATTTATTGGTTTGGTGAGACTCCCATGATAGGTATCCATTTACCTCTGGAGAATCCGTAAATAAACAAACAATACAAAAACAATGTCAAACAAGTAACGTAGTTGAGTGATGTCTGCGACCTTAATCCTATTCATAACTTTATTAATCTCCACGTAGATTATTTGCTTATTATATTCATGTGCCATAGCTAAGTATATACAGTTATCGCGTAAAGTAATAATCGTCTATAGTGATAAGTATAGGATATTGACCAAGACGAGGTCTATATGGGAAATATAGGCCGAGTAAAACACCGAGGTCCGCCGAGGTCTATTACGAGGCCTATATTTCCCATATAGACCGAAGTCGAGGTCAATATCCTATTTATCACGAATCCTTTGCCATAACCCCAGAATTTGAACCTTTAGCAGCTATTTTAACCTTTTTAGTATAGCATTTGTACTATAGAGTATAGTGTACATAGGATGTTGCCTATTTTGGGTACAAGACTGTAAGAACAACAGGGTTCAACATCTGCAGCACAGTGGCTGGGTGGTATGGGGTTGCTTGAGATTCATACTGTTGTGGGTTCAAATCCTGCTTGTTCTCTTCCTTTGTCTTGTTTCTTTCAAATTTTCTTTTTGAAGTGGAGAGAAATTTTCTAAGTCCCTCCAAAGTCGAAAGATTACAATGCCTAAGTGGTCGATACAAGCGGTCGATATTGCGGCGATATTGGTAATATAGGACCAGTCAAGGATCACGAGAATTAGTGGAGGTCGATATAGAAGAGTGATAATCGTCAATAGTAATACATGTACATGTATATCGCCTATAGTGATGAACTTCATGATTATTTGAAAAGACCTTTATTACAAATCTTAGTAGAGAGTTGCACGATGCCAACACGGATCCCCGAATATTTAATATTAAATATATAAATAGTTTAGAACAATTTAAAGGAATACTTCAACTCAACGACTCATTCGGAATCACTTGGAGCACTACACTTGAAAGGAAGAGTTATGAAAAAAGACAATGCACGCGACTAGTTACCTGACATATCCGTTTGAACGTGTATTCATTTAGCAGCATCTCCCTGAGTCGCCTGCTAGTGCCCGACAGCTGAAAGATGTCCGCAACTGACAGCATAGGTAGTAATGTTGCTTGCCATACATCAAAGAGGACACTATCCAGCCCATACTCCACTGATACTGGGTCCACTAGCTGGCAATGATCTTCAGGTTCATGTCGAGAGCTGGCGGTACCAGATGCTGCTGGAGCTGTGCACATGTGCCCATTGTCACTAGCGCTGGCATGATGTAAGCGGTATGCTAAATGAATCAGGAGCGCAATTACAAAGCTGATTAGTACTGCAAAAATTAATTTTCGAGTACTAACTTCCACTGTTGCATTATCATCACAATGATCAGCTTGGTAATATGAATCCATTGCTAGGGTATGTTGATCACTCCTCGTAGTTAAGATCCTTGCAGTGGAAACCTTTTCAACACGGATCAACACACAAGCCCAGGCATACCAAAGAACACACACACACACACACACACACACACACACACACACACACACACACACACACACACATACACAAAATCGTGAGCGGTGTTTTGTTCAGTCATGGCGGGACGCCAGTGAAGTCGATGGTTCGGTTTTACTTTTTTAATTTATTTTTTACTTCAAAACAAGTAGTTTATTTTTTTATCACATTGCACATACCTACGGAAGAAGGGGAAACTTTAAATACTTTGTCAAAGATTTCGCCTCGTTTCAGGTATTGTTTTGCTACCACCAGTATCAGGCAGGCACAGTGGGTTGGTCAAAGACCATGATTGAGATACGAGAGGTACCTGGTTCAAAAGAATCAAGTCCTGCCTGGGAGCGGTTTTTCCAGCCGTGCTGCTACCCACAGTCAACTGGGAACTTGTGGCCAGGCACAAGGGGTACATGGATGCAGCTAATGGGGTCGTTTTCGGCACTTGTGCCAGTGGTTGTGAGACTTGCCCACTCACCCCCACCGTTAGGCGCTGCATCTGCCGCTAGGGTTTATCGGGTGTTAGCGGCCGTCGTGAGTTCCCTTCGGGAACGGATACGATAATTTACTTACTTTAGTACCGACAACTGTCAGTGAAGACTGTGGACAGTGATCCCAGAGGTTATTTCATAGACTAGCCTTACCTAGGTCAGAGGAAACCTTACTTCTCAACTTAAACTCCCAAAAAACGGTCTCTTCACTGCGATTCAAGTTCAAATTTACATTAGGCCAAAGTTTCGGGCATGGCCCATCGTCAGAATCAGAAAAACAGGAAATTGGAATTAATCTTAGTACGCCGGAACAGAGTTCTAAAATATATTTTCAAAAGCCAAATTTAACTTTTATCCTCCCATTGTTCTCATATGGGAACAAGAATAAGGCCCAAACAGTGATGACATAAATTACCCCAAAATCGACGAATTGAGAACACTGGACAAAGTTTGTTTCTTGCTGTTACACTCAGCTTACAGGTGCTATAACTAGGAAGACATCACACATTCTTATCGAAGTAAAGCACTTCAAGCAGAGAATGAAATCTAGATTAGAATTCCTTCTTTCAATATAATCAACCAGAGATATTTTATTTATACAAATAGCCAACAGATGTCCCAAAGAATTAATGTATAACCATTACAAAAATTGAAGAAAGTGTTTCCGGAGTTTAGACTTACCTAGGAGCAGAGCCTTGCAACTGGTGGTGTCGGGGTGCAACTACAGTTTGCAGGGGAAAGGGATACCTGAGCTCGCCTGGCGATTTCAAGATACTGCTAGTGAACTGATGGTTAGCAAGATCGAGAACACTGATTTATACCTTCATACTACTAGAAACCTGCGTAACGGCTCCTGTGCGACTTTGCATGTAACGGCCCTGCGTGTGGTAAACATGTGCCAATGTAACGCTTCATAGCCTCACTGCGACATTGCCAGTACGGTACTACTACTACTGAGTAGTGTACTGTGTAGTGAAAGGAGCGGTGCTCTGACGTGGCAGCTCTGAGACGTGACAGCTCAGCTCTAAATCTTTACCGTAGCCGAATGTTGAGTTGTCTCTCAGAACTTACAGAAGAAGGTCGCAATGCATCCACGCATCGTTATTAACGTTTATTACTGCCATTGCTGACTGTTCATTGATCCACTAAGCTCTTAGTGTTCCAGCAGAAACCCACGTATTCGACACAGCTAGACGTGGGCAGCAGACAGTGAGCTTGTATTGGTAATAATTATCGCAATCATCTCTGCACGGCTAGCAGTGTTCAGAGCTAGCTGCATGCTACAAACTTCATGATGTACACACGCACATGTAGCTGGCTATTATTATTACTGTGCATTGGTCACACGCACAACCGCCACTCCATGTCAAGATGGCCACGTACGTGTGCACTGTCAGTACTTTAAGTTCAAGTGCTTGCCGAACTCATTGGTATTACGTGATCGTCAAAATATTCGTAGTAGTAGGTATTGAAGATGCCAACAAAGAATTTAAAGATTCGTCATTGGCTGCATTGCAGGCACTGACTTTATTCTTCGGAAATGTACTTACTGACTACTGTACCATGATTAAGTCATGTACATTTCGCTGCCCACTGTTCAATGTAGTTCACAGGACTAGGGCTGCGCAACGTTCGGCGCGTACTTCAGTGACGCGACTTGATTTCATTGCATGCACGGTACTGGAGGACAGTACACAGCTAGCTACGGACTACAGTCACGCCCTGCTACTTGAACATACTGAACTGACGTAGTCAAATCACTTCACAGGGCGGCGCACGCGTCATGCAGCAATCTTGATCTACTCCGCGAATGACCCGGCATCAACGAAAGACTGATGCCCCAATACAAGTTTTTTTGCGAATGTCATTGGTTGCATGCACTGACCCTATTAGTATTATTATTATTATAATTATGCATGTTCGCGTTGATGTCAACAATGTTCACATCTTCGCATATGCCAGAACCAAACGATCAGCTGTATGATACTGTAGAAGCAAGAATGCATTTTAACGGTACAACACAACGGACAATATACTTCACTATGGTGATTGCCAGCATGGTCGGTGACTACCGAAACCTATGCGGGGAAGTAATAGTCATGATGGAGTGGTAGATGCCAGCATACTGTGGCCTTCCTCAATATAGAGCAGGGCAAAAGTCTCTCCACTCCTCGCGACTAGCTGCGGTAGATCGAAGGCTGTCTAGGTCCGCTGCTGTCTTTAATTTGGCCATGTTCTTCTTCTCCAAGTCCTTGGACAGGGTTGTGACCAACGTTGTTCTTGGTCGCCCTCGGAACGACCCTTCTCGACATACAAAGTATCTGTCTTGTCATGGTTGACGCGTAAATGCCATTCACCCAGTACCTCCGCTGCAATGGGTTCGATATCCGTCAGCCACAGCCTCGAACTACTTATGAAGTCGGTATCATCTGCGTAGATCACTTCTGGGGGTAGGTGTTGGTCCTGTAGTGGACGGGGAGGTGCTGCGGCTCTGAAATCACGAAGAGCTGAATCTAGATATACAACAAAGAGAACTGGTCATAGTGCATCACCTTGTGGTGTTCCCACGTTGGTGTTGAAGAGCGATGACATATCGGTGCTTAAGCGTATGCGTAGGGTAGTGTTGCATAGAAGCACGCGGATGAGTCGGATGTTGACTCTATTCGTCATTTTATTTTTTTACTAAGTCCACTATGCTCCCGAAAGAATGCGGAAGGTGGTGGCGGGCCCTGCTGCTCAGCCGCCCTTATATCCCTAACCCGCGCTAAAACTCTCTCTTTCCACCGCCTATCACTGTTCAACACAGCTGCAGCCATCTACCGCTACTCGAGCAAAGTACAATCACATAACTAGTCGTTGTGGGTGCAGCGAACGTGTCATTCGTTCTCTGCTCCGCGTTTGACGTGGAATCGAAGAAGAGCTAAAGGACGAAGGCATTATCTCATCACCATGTTGTCTGGGTTTAAGGGCAACTGCTCTGGCAGCGATGTCGACTGAGTATTTTCCGATAGACTCAGCTCGGGCTGCATGGTACGTGAAGTCGAAGAAGTCAGAAGAAAAAAACCCATACTATCTAGTATCTACATGTACACAAACAAGCAATACCAACTTCAGGGTGTCGAGCCCCCTCCCCACAGGCGCTCTCTAGATAAAGCATTGTCACAGAGTCGAGGTGTTGGCCCCACCATATTGACTACCAATGAACGTTTCACACAATTGCTCGAATTAATTCACAACTTAAAATTCTTCCCTGTTCTCCAGCGACTTTTACAGCTGTCTCAACTTACTTCATAGTATTTTTCACCATGGCTATTGACCTCAGCGCTAGTATTTCACCATAACCTTAATTACAGAGGTTTCGGGGGCCAGTCAAAGCACTCTAGTGACTCTGCAAGGCACATTATACTGCGAATTAGTCACTGCCTTTGTTGCTGCTTATAGCTCATCTGTAGGTCATACTCGTCCCGACCCAAGTCCCAATCTAAAATTCACAACCACCCGGTCCTTGTCGGTGAATGAAGGTGCACACATAATTTCTATTACTCGTATTAGACGGCTGCTTTGAGAGCATCCTGGAAGCAAGGTGATCCTAGATGATCGGTTGTTGAAAGTACATTTCAACTGTGGGTGACGTACTGGTACGTGTACTTCATGCATTACGCTATGCTTCTATGTGGTGTGTTCGATCAGTACCCGTACCCTGTGACCTTACTGCCATTGAAAACAAAATTTTGACCCGGGAAATGCAACATGACCGAAGCCCTTTCATATGCTACACCCGGATAATGTGCATTGGAAGACTACAGCAACGTGTCAGAGTTTTCATTAAAACAGATTTCCGGAATTATGAAAAAGAAAGCAGCTTTAAGCAATGAAAACTTGAAAAGACACGGATTGGTTTACCAGAGACAAGGTCCATGGCTTGCGTGTAGCTATACATAATACCTGAAACAATGTTTTATTACAGGAAAATGAACAGTTACAATGATCCTAAACGGAGAAAGATCGAAATTGACATTACTGAACCGGTCGGAATGTTTACAGAATTTGGTGTTGTTCGTACATTTACCAACGCTAACAGTTTTTTCAAACCTAGCATTCATATTACAGCTAGTTCCACACATACAGAGACCCCCTCAAAATGACAGTGGTTAACAAAAAAGGTGACGAAATGAAACATTCACACATCTTTAGCAATGCACCCGTGTCCAGAAATCATGACCATGGGGGCACAAAACTGCAATGGCTGTTGTGATACTGGCACTCAGCTGCTCCGATATTCTCCTCATCCCTTCTTCTTCATGACGTGGCTTCGAGTCATTTCGTAGCCAACAACTTGCCATAGCCCTCCATGGCTTTGAACAATTCATCTGCTGTCCATTCTGTTCTAGAATGTGATCCTTGTAAGGCAGGTTGTAGGTAACTTCCCAAATGTAGGTAGAGAGTTGCACGATCAGGGATACTGGACTTTGGCAATCCTTTCAAGAACTCTTCATACTCCATGACAGCCATGAAATAATCCTCGACATGAACCGTCCGCATTATTCCCATTATCAGCAGCTTGAGAACGGAATGTTTGGTTGCGATCTGTCCGATGGCGTGTATCCAATGTCTAGTCCCGATCTCATCATCGTCTTCATCATAACTCCTCACCTCGACGAAATTCCAATGAACGAAAGGATTATACGTCCATACAGAAGGGATTGGAATCTGCAGACATTGCTCATAAAGGTATTCCCATAACCATGCTGTGCCCAGGGAGGTGAATACACTTTTGTCGTGCTTTGCAATGCTGTAAAAACATTTTGCAATGTCAACAAGCCTTCTCGATCGGTACACATAGGGCAAGTATGATTCTAGCGTTGAGATATCGCGTTGCAAATGTTCGATCAAGGCTTCTTGGTTCTCTTCAATAGAGCCACATTTTTCTAGAAGCAAAGAAACCAAATCTTCTATTCTATATTCATCCGTGTTCATGCCTTCGTCTGAATCCGATGAATCTGGCCCAAACAACTTCCGCGAAACGTTTGGAAGAATTTCACACGCTTCATCTACAGATAAGAACTCGACTTTGACCAGTTCACTCTGCAAACAAGAGAAAGTCCAGCTTGTGATGTGACCCGCAGTTGGAGGTGCCATCAACGCCAGAGTCGATAATTGCTTTAGCAATGTATCCTTATGGTCGAAAACCCGGCGATTAGCCCTTTCGACAAGCAAATCATTTATGCTCTCCCACGGGCTATGATGCATACTAGCCACACTGTCTGCTATGTAGAGAATTCGTGCAGCTCGAATATACGACATTTCCAAGTTAGGACTGAGATGATACCGCCTCTGCATGGCATAGAAACACATGACAATGACAAATACAGAAAATATGCATGAATTCATTCGTTTCAGGAATTTGCAAACAGGACAGATATGAAGATCAAAAGCTGTCACCACCAGGTCTTGAACCAGGGCCGTAAAATGTACATGTACGTACATACATGTTTTTGAACATTCAAGCGATGCCGACACGTGAACATTATTATAATAATATTTCAATATAACTAATAATAATAGTAGGGGAGCTTTGCGAAAACGAATTGTACAATCCGAAAGCCAAACTCCTACCGTATGCGTATGAGTTTAGCTTTCGGACTGTGCAATTCGTTTTAGAAAAGATACCCCTTCTTTACTTGTCTTTGAGCATAATAATAGTATATGTAAATTTTCGAATTTACAATCCACTTGTTCACTCCAAGTGTATAAATCCTTTTGTAATTTCACAATTCTCTTTAATCACGAAATCCATTGATATTTGTAAGAAGAAAAACGTTCTGGAATACTTATTTCGTCCCTACGGTTGTGATATGAGTGCACATAATAGTTTTATTCATTGCACTTGTTCATTCCTAAAGTTTGTACTCGGTTGTTGAGCCAATGTAATCATTGATAAATAAAGGAAGGACTGAATGTTGTGAGTCATGACCAGTTAACTGTTCACCAAAGTGACTAGATAATTTATACAGTCAGGAAGTGCAACAACAAAGGACAAAACCGACTTTGGAGTTAGTACCAGGTCCGCGTTGTATATCTCAGTGCTGTTTTTGCTTGTTGTTGAACTTACTTACTCCGTTAACAAAAAAACTTCGTGATGGATTTTTGAGGGCCTGGTTTGCGCATAAATTGTTTTGAAATAAGTCGCTATTATTTTCTCGGCCTTGCTTGGCATGCCATGAGAGAGATACGATTCAAGGAAAGCGACCTTGCACAACAAGCCAAGCGGAATAGAAGGTTGCGCTGTGGCAAAATTTCACATTGGTTCTCACCTGACATAGACGCTTAAACGTGTACTCATTGAGCAGCAGCTTCTTAACATTCCTCGAAACTCCACACAGCAGAAAGATGTCCAGAATGGACAACATTGGCAATAATGTATCTTGCCACACGTCAAATGAAACACTATCCAGTTCATGCAGAATTGGGCACTGCTCCGTCACCTGGAGATCTTCAGATACATGTAGTGAGCTCGTTGCATCGCTGTTTGTGGATTCTAGATGCAATTCTTCTTGCTGGAGTGTATCATCACCAGTAAGAGAGTGATTAGCAGCAGCCATTAGCTCTGGCATAGCATATACATTCTCAGTAGCGATGTCATGTTGCGGCTTGGCTACCTCGGTTGCGTTATCGTCGCGAACGTCAGGCTTCTGATGGGCATCCATTGCCAATGTAAGCTCCACAAAATTGCTGATTTCCGTGAACAACTGCACACTCAACCAACGGACACAGGGCAGTACAGAGGAGTACAGAATAACATCTACATGGATATGCCGCACATAGACAGTCACCAGCAAACAAACAAATAATTCGCTAAACAGATAATGCATAGCGCAATAGATCTACATCTGGGAAATACATGAACATGGATATGAATCGCCAATAGCATGTTCTTAACTATAACTTATTGAAAACACGAGTACCTCTCCTAATTATTGCACGCATTATAATAGTTTTTTATAATAGAATCAAAGAGACCAACAAATGTTCCAAACAATTTATAACCATTACAAATTGAAGACATTGTTTCCAGGGTGTTGACAAGGTTTAGACTTACCTTGTTGCAGAAACTTGCACCTGGTGATGTCGGGCTTCAACTACAATTTCCAGGGAAAAGGGATACCTGAGCTCACCTGGTGATTTGAACTTGAAGACACTGCTAGTGAACTGATGGTTAGCAAGATCGAGAACACTGATTTATACCTTCATACTACTACTAATTCTACTACTGAGTAGTGTACTGTGTAATGAAAGGAGCGGTGCTCTGACGTGGCAGCTCTGAGACGTGACAGCTCAGCTCTAGCCTATACCGTAGGCGTAAAATGAGTTTTCTCTCAGAAGAAGGTCACAGTGCATCCACGTATCGTTATGAACGTTTATTACTGCCATGGCTGACTGTTCATTGACCCACTAAGCTCTTAGTGTTCCCGCAGAAACCTACGTATTCGACACCCATAGACGTGGGCAGCAGAAAGTGAGTTTGTATTGGTAATAATTCTCGCAATCATCTCTGCACGGTTAGCAGTGCGCAGAGCTGCACGCCACGGCCTCCATGATGTACACCCGCACATTTAGCTGACTGATTACTGTGCATTTGTCACACGCACAACCGCCACTGCATTTTAAAATGGTCACGTGTACTTTACATGCCGAACTGATTCCCCGTGTACACCTATCACGTGATAGTCATCGGCTGCAGTGCAGGCACTGACTGCAAATGACATTAGAGAATAGAGTCATTATGTACATAATACACTGTCTATAGCTACTGTACAATGATACATTTCGCAGCCCACTGTTCACAGGACTAAGGCTGCGCAACGCTCAGTCACGTACTGCTACTTGCGCATAATAAAATCACTTCACAGGTCGGCGAACGTGTCGTGCATCAATCCTGATCTGCTCCGCCCATTGACCCGGTATCGCCGAAGGACTGATGCCCCAATAAAAGTTTTTAGTGAATGTCATTGGTTGCATGCACTGACCCTATTTGTTATATCGTTAACCCGCGCTAAAACTCTCTGAGCCTCTCTCTCTGTTCCCATCGCCTATCACTGTTCAACACAGCTGCAGCCATCCACCGCTACCCGAGCAAAGATGTAAGTACAATCACGTTGCGCGAGTAGCGAACGTGTCATTCGTGCACTGCTCCGCGTTTGAGGAGGAATCGAAGAAGAACTTATTTATAATATTATTATTTATTTTTTAATAATCTAACTAAGTGAAAATTATAATGTGAAGAAGAGGTTGGTGCGACTTCGGCGATAGTACGAGTACTAGTATGGGAAGAGTGTGTTGCTCATTACATCATGGGACCTCGCGGTTTTCCTGCAGACTTGAATTCTCACTTGACTGACTCATGACTGCCCAAAGCTGTTAGCTGCATTAAGTATGAGTTGGATCGCGGCAGGTTACTAGTAATGTTCTGCACGTGAACCACGAAAAATCAGCCTTCCAGAGCACACGAGAGGTCCATCGAACCGTCCACTTGGCAAACCTGCAAGAAAGCGCCACTCCCTGCTCAATACACAGTGACAGTGTTCACCCCTCATCGAGACCCTTGGTCGGGGGAGTCCACTGCATCTCACCAGCGCAGCTCATGTAGCGCCTACACACCCATTGTTGTCTTTTTTGTTTCGTCTTCGTTTTGTCTCCCCCTTCTTCCCTAGGTATGTGCAATGTGATAAAAAAAAATAAATAAAAAAAAATCAGTTGCGCTTCAGTAGGCTGAGGGTGATTGCGCCCGAAGAGCACCACTTACATACTGCTCTCCAGGCGCAAACATCACCAGGGATGCAAACTACTTACAGAGACGCTCAGTTTCCAGCGCGACAAACACCTCGCGAACACCAGATAGCAGCGTGAGTTAGTGTCGCTCATGGAGGTGCTAACAAGCGCTGAGGACAGTTGGCCATTCACAACGTTATTGCCTCCAAACCATCTAATTCGCAAGCCCGGGCTGGGGACAACAATGTGAAGAAGAGGTTGTTGCGACTTCGGCGGTAGTAGGGGAAGAGTGGGTTGCTCACTACGTCATGGGACCTCGCGGTTTTCCTGCCGACTTGACTTCTCACTTCACTGACTCACGACTGCCTTCCAGAGCACACGAAAAGTCCATCGAACCGTCCACTCGGAAAACCTGCAACGAAAGCACCACTCCCTCCTCAATACACAGTGTTTCGGGAAATTCACCCCTCATCAGTTGAGCATGAGTAGGCTGAGGATGATTGCGCCCGAAGAGCACCACTTATAATATTGCTCTCCAGGCGCAAACATCACCAGGGATACAAACTTACAGAGACGCTCCGTTTCCAGCGCGACAAACACCTCGTGAACACCAGATAGCAGCGTGAGTCAGTATCGCTCATGGAGGTGCTGAAAAAGCGCTGAGGCGCGTTGGCCATTCACAACGTTGTAGCCTCCAAACCATCTAATTCGCCAGCCCGCGCTGGGGACAACAACGTGAAAATTATAATAATGGTAAAATAGGAGAATGACAAAATGTTACGAGTTATGACTAACTGTCCGCCTAAGTAACCAGATCATATACAGTAACCTTTTGCCTTTCTCTTATTTTACCACAACTAAACTGGCTCTTAACCCAATTTCAATAAAATAACAATAAGAAAAAGTGCAAGCACAGGGCACAACAGCACTGAGACATTCAACGCGGACCTGACCCTAGCTCCAAAGTCGGTTTCGTCCTTTGTTGTTGCACTTCCTGACTGTATAATGATCTAGATACTTTGGTGAACAGTGGGTCATAACTGACAACATTCAGCCCTTCCTTTATTTATCCATGATTATATTGGCTCAACATTCGAGTTCAAACTTAAAGAATGAACAGGTTTATTGTACATGTACATGTAAACACGTTAATGTTCATGACTGTGCTTACAAGCCTTGCATAAACATACCTGGTTCAAGTCCTGGTGATGTCAGAGTTTTCTTGTTCATTCTCGCCTGTTTGCAACTCCGTGAAACTAATGAATACATGCACATTTTCTGTATTTGTCATTATTAGGTGTTTCCATACCATGTAAAAGTGGTATCGTCTCAGTCCTTACTTGGAAATGTCATAGTCGAGCTGCACGAATGCTCTACATTGCATACAGTGTCGCTAGTCAACATCATAGCCCGTGGGAGAGCAGAACTTAGTTCCTGGTCGAAAGGCACAATGATTGGATTTTAGACCAAAAGTACACATTGCTATGGCAACTATCGTGTCTGGCGTTGATGTTGCCTCCAGCTGCGGGTCAGATCACAAGCTGGACTTTCTCTTGTTTGCAGAGTGAACTGGTCTATGTCGACACCCTTTTCCTAGATGGAGCTTGTGAAATGGTTTTTCACCTTTCACCAAAGCTGTTTGCGACAGATTTATCGAATACAGACCTATGTATATTCCTGAATATGCATACAATTGGAATAAAATACTTGGTTTCTTGGTTTCTAGAAAAGTGTGGCTCTATTGAAGAGAACCAAGAAGCTTTGATCGAACATTTCCAAAGAGATATCTCAACGCTAGAATCATACTTGCCCTATGTGTACCGCTCAAGAAAGCTTGTTGATATTGCAAAATATCTTTCTTCTTTCTTTCTTTTTGACGGGTTCGCGTACCGGGCAGGTCAGGAAAAAGGCGTCGTACAACTCCCTGGTCAGGAACCACCTTTCTGCTTCCATGGGACGCCACCGCGCCATGATCAGGCGTCAGATGCGGCTCCTAGTCTTTACAGCATTGCAATGCACGACACAACTACATTGACCTCCCTGGGCACGGCATGGCCATACCTTTACGAGGAATGTCTCCAGATTCCAATCACTCCTGAATGGACGTATAATCCATTGGTTCATTGGTATTTCGTCGATAAGATCAGTGATCATGAACATGATTCTGTGGTGGGGACCAGACAATAGATAGACGCCGTCGTACAGCTCGCAACCAAACATTCCGTTCTCAAGCTCGTCATAATGGGAAGCCTACGAACGGTTCATGTCGAGAATTACTTCATGGCTGTCGTGGAGTATGAAGACGTCTTTGAAGGGATTGCCCAAGTCCAGTATCCATGATCGTGCAACTCTCTATCTAGATTTGGAAAGTTACTTACAATGTCCCTCCCAAGGATCACATTCTACAAAAGAATGGACAGAAGTCGAAATATTGAAAGCCATGGTGGACCATGGCAAAGTGCTGGCCACGGAATAAAACGAATCAGAGGGATATGAGCAACTGAATGCTTTCTTTTTCATAATTTTAAGTCGTTCCGGGAGTATTTTTTAATGAAAACTCTGACACTTTGCTGTTGTCTGGGATACTTCCGATGCACGTCATCCGGACATAGCATATGAGAGGGCTTCGGTCATGTTGTCTTTAAACTGTGAACATTAATTTGTTTGCAATCACAGTAAGATCACGGGGCAAGGGTACTGATCGAACACACCACATAGAAGCATAGCGTAATGCATGAAGTACACGTACCAGTACGTCACCCACAGTTGAAATGTACTTTCAACAACCGATCATCTAGGATCACCTTGCTTCCAGGATGCTCTCAAAGCAGCCGTCTAATACTAGTAATAGAAATTGTGTGAACATGTTCATTCAGAGACAATGGACGGATTATTTTTCAATTTTAGATTAGGACTAGGGCCGGGAGGAGGATGGGCTCCAGTTGAGCTATTAGCTGCAACAATGGTAGTGACTAACTCGCGGTATAATTTGCCTTTCAGAATCACTTGAGTGATTTGACTAGATACAAAACCTCCAGTTTTGAATTTATGTTGAAATACTAGCGCTGAGAGCAATAGCCATGCTGAAAAATACTTCAATGTAATTTGAAAGAGCTTTAAAAGCCGCTGGAGTACAGGGTAGAATAAAGTTGTGATTTTAGAAGAGCAACTGTGTGAAACGTTCATTCTAGCTCAACATATGTTGGGACAAGACCTCGAATTTGTGCTACTAATTTACACAGAGAATGCCAGTGGGGAGGGGGCTCTATTCTCTGAAGATGGCATTGCTTGTTTTTCTAGATACTATGGTTTTTCTGTCGTCTGACTTCTTTAACTTCACGCACCATACAGCCCTAGCTGAGTCTATCGGGAAATAGTCATTCGACACTGCTCAGAAGTGGTAGTTTGTGAACCCGGACAACATG